TGGGATCAGGTCATGGGTGTTGGCGTGGGGAGGGGTGCTGCCTTAACATTCAGGGTAGGGGGTATGACCATTGCTCAAAAGAGAATGGTCAATATGGGTTGAACAAATCTGTGGGTTTTGTTTTTTTTTTTCCAATGAATTTCAGATTTGGTTCGGCTTTCACAAATATCTTCTTCGTGTCTTCATGATGGGGTTGAGATGACTATAAGGAGAGTGGTTAGAGAAGCATGCATCTATGTAGACAGGTAGAGGAGAGGGGGTTAACTCAAGGTCCTGGGGAAACAGAATCACCTGGACAGGATTGTGTTGGTTGGAGATACAGAATTTGGAAGAGAAGCAGGAAGGACTCCAGGTCTCCAGCTGGAAAGGACTGTTTTAAAGCAATTTAATTCGCAATAATTATATTTTATATTTTGAAAATTGCTTGGTTCAGTATACTCCACTGATGTTTAAAGGTATTAATTGTGATAGTTAATTTTGTGAGCAAAGTTGAGTGGATGATGAGGTGCCCAAATATATGGCTAAACATTATTTCTAAGTGTTTCTAGATAATATTAACATTTCAATCAGTGGACTCAGGAAAGCAGACTGCCCTCCCGGGTGGGAATCTAAATGTTGAGGACCCAAATAGAATAAAAGAGAATTTTCTCTCTCTGCCTTCTGTTTGAGCTGTGACATTGGTCTTCTGCTTCCTTTAGACTGGGACTTACACCCTCAGCAACCCTGGTTCTAAGAACCTTAAACTTGGACTAAACGATACCAACAGATTTCCAGGGTCTCCAGTTTGATAGATCATGGGACTTCTCAGCCTCAGCAGTTCTCTGAGCCAATTCTTCATAAAAAATCCCCCCTCCCCCCCATACATACATAAACACACACTATGGGTTCTGTTTCTCTGGAGAACTCTGACTAAACATTAATAAGAAGTAACATGTGATCATGAGAAAACACTACAGCTAGTTCAAATAATTTTCAATGACTTTTAAAGACAGCTTTCCAGGTGGGCATATTCTGCATTGTTGGGAATGAGAGAAACAGTCTCATGGTCTCTGGGGGAATTAAGCTCTTGACCACTGATGAGTGTTCCACAGTCAAGTTTACCATCGTTGAGAAGGTGGCCACTATCGAGGCCAGCTGTAAAAACCAAGGAGAACAAGGCAAAGATGAAGTCACCTCTGGCATCTCTGTATCAGTATAACAGTTTCCAGATTTCCTCGTAACTGGAGGGCACCTCTCCGCGGTGGTGATGACAAATTCATCCTTAAGGCTTGTTGGGACTTTCAACAAGCCCCAAGGATGAAAACCTACCACTGCTTCCTCCATATCTGGAATTCTGTGCTTTTAGGTTACAGATTCCCCTTGTTTTAGTCTCTGTGTGTACTGATGATGGGGGGTGGGTGGGGAGACATGCAAGGAAGCTACAGAAATATATTCGGATGTGCAAGTTACTCAGGTTGGTACAGAGGAAGGGCATTGAGACTCACAATGGTTAGTCAAGGGGGCGAAGCGGGGTCCACTCACCCAGGCTAGAAGCCCAGAAATTTCCACTCCCAAAGGGCCTAAGTAGTTTTTGCATTTCTGAATTTCAACGGGACTCCGAAAATGAGGGCACAATTACACACAGCCTGCGTTAAGGGTGTAGGGGGAGCCTCTTTAACCAAGATGGAGATTCCAAAAATAAATCATTTTCTAATTGGAGAAAGGAAAAGAAAATGAGGTGTTTATAAAAGAGGCCCACAATGCCCAGAATCTTAGAATGTTAAAGAATCCAGTCTCTTGCCTTTTTCCCCACCCCTCCCTTAACCAGAGAGAGGAAACGCAGCTAGAGAAAGCTGTGAATTGTCCCAGATCACAAAGGTTTGAAACGAGTTTCCACCACATCACAAAGCTTTCTCTTTCCAGAATTCCTCGGGGGGAAAATGTAAGAAAACCTCTTCGTTTCCTGCTTCTTTATGCCAATGGCTGCTCACGACTGAACATACGGTTACTATGGTTTTGTACTGAAGCCAGCTGAAGAAGGGGAGCAAAGAGTTGCTTTCCAGCAAGGGAAAGAATCTGCAAAAAATAATTGACTGTCATCTGAAATATTTTCAGATGTCGGCTTTCAAAAGCCGAGAGAGCTGGCTTTTACCTCGGGTTTTGTTGGAGGGTATCATTTACCTCAGACGCTTGCAAACTCCAAATTCTGTTTATTTGCCCATTACAGTGGGTTTTACTTCTCGACCCCTCCCAACAATCCCTGAGGTTGTGGCTTGCGCTGTTCATTTCTCTAACTCCCTGATGCATCTTACATTCGAGCCTCTCCAATGTTCGTCTTTTTGACTGGGCGGCAGACGAGATAAAGCGAGGCTGTTAGTCTGGCCGGATCCACGTCTGGCGCCAAAGTGCGAGTCTGGGTTTTAATTCTTCCTGCCTGGGAGAAGTTTTAGAGCAAAGCAGCTATGCTGGGATTTCCCTCAGTTTTTAAAAGGACTAATGGCTCCATCGATAGGCCTTACTTTTGCACTACGCAAGAATTCTGCTTAAGAAAAGATACAGAATCAACCCTCATTTGAGGAGAGTAGGGGTAAAACATAACGAGACACTTGACCAGGATAGATTCTCCCCAATGTCTGCGGAATCGCAATCACAGGCACAGCCCACAGCTCAGGTCTCGGGGTCTGCCGAGCAATAACTGATGGATGATGGACGGAAGGGTGGTGTCTAGACTCCCCAAGCTTGAGTTGGGTACTTCGTTTCTACTTCCCTGTGAGTAGATACTTGGTTGCTGTGACAATCGTGAGAGGTACGGGGAGGAAAGACACTTAAAAGTCATGCTAAGGTGAAATGCCAACGGGACTTCTGGTAGACATTTGATGAAAGGGACATGTCTGGCCTCTGGGGTCCTGATTACATAGAGACAGTTTCTCTGGAACTCAGCCTCCCTCCTTCCCACCTTCCATCTCTAATGGCTATCAAGGAGCAGTGCCTCCCGCGGTGCCAATGTCATCTACTTCTTTGGGATGATGCCTTGGGAAGGACCCACTGATGGGAGGCCAGTGGCCCTTTACCTGACACATCCAGGTGCTCCAGGTTGGGGCAGAGGGACACCACGTCAAAGACGGCCTCGTTGGAGATGTTGTAACAGCCCGAGACCTCCAGTCGCCTCAGTTCGGGGCAGCACTGGGCAATGGTGTAAAGCCCTCTGTCCGTGAGCCGCCGGCAGCCACTGACCGTCACGGTCTCCAGCATGAGGCAGACGTTGGGTGTGTCCTGGCAGAGCCTGCGGGTCAGCACCTTGAGGGCGCGGTCCACGTTGATGGTCTCGCCCGTCAGGCGGATAGTCCTCCAGAGCCGCGGGTCCCAGGCCAGGTTGTACCAGCGGCGGCACACGCGGGCGCAGCGGCACAGCTGGTTGGTGGGCAGGAAGGAGAAGACGTGGACCAGCGAGTGGTCCGGGAGGCGCTCGATGCTGGCCTGCTCCTTCTGCGGTCTGGAGGCGAGCCGGATGAGAGGGTGGGTGAGGCGGGTCGGCGGCGGGGAGTGGACCATGGCCACCGTCTCGCCGGTGATGGAGGACGAGGAGGTGGACGAGCCCCTTCCATTCTGAAACCCGGGCAGGTTCGGTGGGCATATCAGGGCTGGGCTGGGCGTGCTGAGTGTGCGCATGCTCAGGTCGGAGTCTGCCAAAGGACAGAGGGGAAAGGGTTAATGACAGCCAGGGTGGCGCCCCCGGAAAGAGGCAGGTGCGGGGTGACACTCTCGTTCCACTGATACCCATCCCCGGCCGACCCTGCGGACTCCATCACTGGAAGCAGAAGCTCATGCAAGTTTCATCCGTCCCAGAAAGGCGCCCATCCTTCATCTGCACCAGGGTGGGCAAACTTTTCCGTAAAGGGCCGGATTTGGAATGCTGGAGGCGCTGCGGGCCATATGGGCTCCGTCTCTGTGGCAATTACTCAACCTGCCGGTTGTGCAAAAAGCTGCTATAAACAACATGTAAACGAACAGGCGTGGCAGTTTCAATAAAATTTGTTTTATAAGAACAAACCAGCTGCATTTGGCCTGAGGGCCGTAGTTTGCTGACCTCTGATCTACACTATTGATGATTATCCAAAGGGCACAACTTCAAAGTTTCATTATTTCTATTCTGGGAGGAAACTCTGTATATTATGAACACAAACTGATTTAATGTCCTAATTACATTTTGGTTAGGCAGAAAATACGCTTCATTTACAAACGAGGAGAATGTTTCAGAAAGGAAGTCAGGTCAGTGGGTACCGATGAAGTTTGCTGTCTTTGCTCTTACCTGTCCCCTTCACATCCAGTCCTCCGTCTCTTGATAAGGGTACCCTAAACTCTGGGGCCCGGGCCTGGGGAGCACCCTGCTTCTTCTGTTAGATTTTAGATGGTACTTTCAGGCCTTGAATATCTGTGATAATATCAATTTTTTGTCCTCATTAACAAGCCTTTCCCTTTTCATTTGAATGTGAGTCATATTCTGTTTCTTGGATGAGACACATGGCTTGATGACGGCACAGTGGTTTTAAAGTTTATGAGGGATTAAGTTCTTCAGAAAGCTGCTTTAAGGAATCTTCTCAATTCATACCCCCCCACCTCAATATATATATATGAGAAAGAATTTATTCTCTATAAATGTTATATATTTTATATATATAAGATATATATCTAGGAAGACATTTATTCTCTCTAAATATATTTATATGTTTTACACAGACCAATGTATATATATTTTGGGTATATATACATATATTTGGGGTATATATACAGAAAGGAGAGACAGACAAGACAAAGAAAGAGACAGAGAATTTCTTTCCAAAACACAAATTTCTTTGTCTGTAAAATAGTGAGTTAGGCTAGATGATTCGTAGGTCATTTACAGCTCTCATTATAGCTATAAAGACTTAAAAAGTTTTAACCCCGTCTACGTTTCCACATTTCATACCTTGGGAATTTTCAAGCACTCATCTTTTCAAAGAACTGCCGGCAGTCACATACCACGCAAGAAATTCTGACACCTACATCTCCACCTAGTGCGTGTTTGTAGTTTTCTTACCCAAGAAAACTTTGTAGTTTTGTACCGCAATAAGTTTTTTCTTTGACTCCTTTATGACCTAACCTTGTCCTTCACATATCCACAGCTTTGCTTATGAAGGTCTGTGATTTATTGTCTGCCTCTAAGCCCCTCTGCCCCCACCTTGTCTGCCTCTTGAAATACAAACACCTTTTGTGACTCAGTGTGAATGCCACCTCCTCTAACAACATTTTCTTGGTGTCTTTGAGAGATAATTAGTTCCTTCCCTTTTAAAATCCCCACTCGTTGTTCTATAGTCATTTGTGAATTTATCTT